TAGCCATTGGTTCCTTTTCCATGGTCTTTATGAGAAGCCAGTAGCCGTGGGGAGTTTGAGACAGATTTGTTTATGTTTGTCAAGGTTATCATTTTTACCTTCCAACCCTCTTTCTCATGATGATTCTCAAGATCTATTCTTTTCGTTTTTCTCAAAATTTTAATTGGACAGACTGTGGGCAGATCTCACTGTGTTTATGAACAGTCATTCACAGGGGGATTTTCTATTTTTAACAGGAGGCTATTAAAGCTCTTCAATCGGTAAGCCGGCTTAGATCTATGGTTGCAATATTTTTCATTTGTTTCTCTCTCTTCTAGCCGAGTAAAATGTTGGCGGTGATTCGGTGAATAACTCAAGAGTAAAAGTCTGAATGTGTTGGTTTGTGTAAGGGAAGAACAATGGGGGAAGAGTCCATTGCTCAACTAAGATACTTTGCTCAAGGATGAGGGTATTCATAATGTTTGATTCTTCACATTTCTATGACTTCGATTTTGTTGAAGATACATATCTATGTTTGGTATTAGAAATTATTCCCATTGATTCTAAAGCTCATTCTTGATGGCTCCATATATTAATTTCGTTGGGTTGGTTTGTCCGTATGATTTTAGCATGGTGAGGGTGTTCTGGAAAACTTAGTATGACTTATAGGGAATGTATTAGTATCATTTAACAGTAATTTGTCTATTTCCATGGGGTTTTAATAGAAACCTTTGATCTCTTTTATGGAGTTGAAGTTGTGGAGGTAAATGCTTTCTTCCAAAATGTATTTTAGTATGTACAATTTCTTTCCTTTTCATTTTATGTAGTTTTGAGTTTGTTTTTCTACTGCACTTCAGGTAAGAAACTCAATGCTTTGACCACATTTTCATAATATAAGATGTCATTGTTAAACTTGCTATTACTTTCCATCAATAATACGCTGATATCATGCAATAATACTTGGTATGTATGAAAAAGTGTTTATTTCCTTTTATTTTCAAGATTTTGGAGAAATTTTTTAAAAAATGATTGCAAAGTCTTTAACCATTTTACGGGTTTTTGGGTTCTAATGTAAACTTGTATGCAGTTTAATTGTGGATGTGAGAATTGATAAAAGGCAGTTACCTTTTGACAAATCTTCTCAGGAAATTATTTATGTTTAAATGTAAGTCTGCTCTCTTCTCTTCTTTTAGGGCTTGTGTCATGGTTTATGATTGGAATTTATGTTATTGGTGGTCAGGAAGGTGATTTTATGGCCAAACTTGGCCCACCTATCTTCAAGTGTTCATGCATACTAGAGGTAAGCTGTGGGCAAAACCCTCTGTTTTTTCCTCCCCATTTGATCTTATGGTGATAATTGGTAAACCCAGTGCATGCATTGGTTTGTTTTTTCTCTTCTCCAGAGAGAATGGATACTATACATGATTGACCTCCTTGTAATGTTTAACCATTATAAATTGCAATTAACCACATTTCCATCCATTCCAAAGTTTGGCTCACTGATTCATTTTATACTGCTAGCTTAGGCGGTGAATACTGATTTTTACATGCTGGATGATGAGACAAAGTGGAAAGTGATGCCTCCCATGCCAAAATAGAACTCACACATTGAATTTGCTTGGGTGCTTGTGAACAATCCTATAGTTATTGTTGGAGGCACAACAGACCAAAAAGATTGTTTGAAAAGGAGAAGCAATGCAGTTTAACTTGAATACTCTGGTATTGACTGCTCTCTTATAGAGCACTTTGGAAATATATTTAGTGTCTGCGTATGTGTTAATATTTGTTACGAATGTATATATTCCTTCATCTATTTAGTGCTCATTTTAGTATTTTTTGGGTATCTTCATCTGGCACTAGGATCTAGCTTGCAAGGGGGAGACCAACATGCTCCGTTGTCAACTTTTGTTTAAATAAACTAGGATGTACTTATTACAGTCCCTGTTTTGTTTAAATATAGTTTTAGGACACCTGTACTTTTTTTGAGTTTATATTCTGCGGGGAGAGATAGAAACCACAGACTCTAATTGCAAGTTAGAGAGCATCATACTCTGTTGTTAGTTTTTGTTTAATTGCATTGTTTTGTCAGTTTTGCAGACGCAGTCAGTGATTGGGAAGTTAACTTACCGTGTGAAAAGCACTTTAGTTGGATTTTGGAATGGATGACTATACTTCACTTTCGGACAGCAAGACAAGGCGCCAGATGATCCCTCTCCTAAAAAGGTCATTGGAGAAATATGGAGAATAAAGTTGAAATTGACTCTTGAGCATTTGTGATTGATTATCGAATCTTTTTTCACTTTTATGCATTGTCCTGGCTGTGTAGCCTATGCTTTCTCCTAACAAAAAGGAAGTGAAGCACTTATTCTTTTTGGCATTTGAATGTTTATTTATCGGTGTATTCTCAGTTCATTTCCTTATATTTTAGTTTACTACTGTTTATCCCCAGGAAACATGAATAATTTTTTGAATATGATCTCTTGCTTATGTCCATTTGAAATGATGGTGGGTAGCAGATATATGCTTGGGTTAGGTATGTATGATTGTTATTTTAATGATTAATTTTTGAAAAGTTAAAAAGTTAATTAGTTGTTTACTTATCTCAGTGATCAGATTTTCATTATTATCAAAGCTTGACAAGTTTAAAAACATTCAATTAACTCTACTCTTCAGTACAAATTCAGTCAGCTAAAGTTGTAAAGGATAGCTTGATATGTGGAGTAATAGTTTCATGATATATTTGGTTCGATGTTAAAAATGATCATAATTATAGTTTGATAGTTTTAAGTGTAAAACTAAATATGCACTTTATTCTATATGGTGGAGGTACAGACATTCATGATATTATAAAATCTGAAGTATTTACTTGTGATTTAAATTTTAAAATCTTGCTTGCAGCATGGACATGATTCCGGTTCCCCCCCTCTTCCAATGCCTATCTAAGCTTCTGTCATGCATATATCATCTGCAGCTTTTTTCTTGTGTATCGAGTTGGTGGTGAAGGACTCGTAATTGATATATACAGGTTGCCCAGAAAAGCTATGCTATATCTTCCATAGGTTTGAGTAGCCATGATTTCAAAAGATGTTTCTTGTGTTTGTAGGCATTTCTGAACCCTCCTTTTTCCAACGTTGTTTGTCCATCATCTTCTCTTAGAGAAGATGCATTTTGATAATTTCTCTATTGATGATGCAGAGGCCGCATAAAAAAAATATATATTTGGTTAGAAGCTTTCCTTTCCAAGATATTTTGAAGGACTCATGCAAAATATTTCTGGGTTAGTCATTTGGTGATATGTGACTTTGTTGCCGATTTTGTTTTATATATTCTTGCCTAACCGTCTTGGAGATATAAGTTTGACTCTGCAGACAAAACACGAAGGATAAAGTCATGTGCTGTGTGCAGTTTGGAGATGCAACATTTAGGAGGAAACCGTGGGTCCATGTGTAACATAATATGAAAGATGGATATGTCCTTACTTTGCAGAAGTTCTGTAACAGAAAGCTAATTTGGAATATAAATGTCACATGAAGAATAACAATTTAGTGGTTAGTATGAATAACAACCCCATTTTACTTTTACCGTTGTGCATTTGGATTTGAGGCGGGAGGATGGACACGAAAAAAAATTAATAATCAGTTAATTGAATGTAGATTATAATTCTGAATTAATGACATATTATCAATAAAAAAATTACAGTATAAAATTAAATTAATATTCTCCTCCTTTCTTGCTTTCATATGTAACAAAATGAATCCTAATTCTTATCCAATTGTCCAACTTTCCAATGAACATATACATGATCCTGTTAATAATGCAACTAAGCCTAATAGATTTTTAGAGGACTTGCGTGGCTCAATGTCAATCAAATACATTTTGAAAAGAAATGCAAGACTAAATGTGGTGGCATATGTCCATAACAGAACACAGTGCATGCGCATTAATTCAATCAGCATTATATTTATTTATATAACAGCATAAAAGATTTTAGCTCAACTATATTTGTATATATTTTTAAATGGACAATACTTATATTAAATTACTTATATGTTATATCAAGTTATTAATCATATATGATCAGGTATCTTATTTTTGAGATATTAACATTTAATAGCATTTAATTATAAATTCAAATGAAACAAAAATAATTACATAACTTTGTTTTCTTAGAGAACTTGACATAATAAAAATAAGAGACTTGACCTAAAATTTTCCTTTTTCAAATCACCCATCACTATCCAAAGCTCCTTTCTAACAAGACAGTACCGGCTGCAGCATCGATGACCTCTCAATATGTTGAAATGTGAGTTTAAAATATATGTAACTTATGAAAAGGTATGTAACTTTATAAACTTATAAAATACGGAATCCATAGTAGGTCTTATTTATTGTGATGTTTTATTGTCGAATACATTTCAATTGCATGAAATTGTAAATTGTATGCTCCCCGTGCATCGCACGGGGAAACACAATCTAGTTTAATTAAGAAATAAATTATATATCAATAAATTAATACAATTTCTATATAAATTAAATACTGATCAAAACTTTAAAAAGTTAAATAAATACTTACCGACAAATTCCACCTCATAACCAGCCTGACGTCTCGGAGCAGGACGCTGCGCAGCCTGGGGATACTCATTCCCCTGATCCTGCTCCTCCTCCTCCTCCTCGTCAGCAGCATCAGCATCAGCATGGGGTTGCTCATCCCCAGTAAAATGAGCCTCCTCAGTCCGCTCAACATCATCCTGCTCCATAAAACTGAGGATATCCTCCTCGCTGAGATCGTAGTCATGAATGCTGGGGAATGGCTCACCAGCATCATGATGAACCTCACTGGGTCCAGCTCTCTCAGGATCAACTGGGTCTTTCCCGTGTCGACGAGTCATCCTAATAACAACAAATAGTAATTATTTATAAATGAAATAAAAAGAAAAATTATTTATAAACTACAACATAATAAAATAAAAAATAAAACATAAAATAAAAATTATTTATCAATAAATTACTATTTTTACCTGAAAATAAGGATCTGCAACTGAATCAGAACTCGAATATGTTTGTGGAGAAAATTCAGCAGAGCTTCGCTTCCAGAACGATTGAAGAAGTGAGAGTGTGGGGGAGTATATATAGACCGAGAATTCCTAGCGGTTCGGTCCAAACCGCTAGAAATTTCTAGCGGTTTTGGGCCGAACCGCTAGGAATTCCCAACGGTCACATGTGCCTCGGGAATTGGCTAGCGGTTCGGTCCAAACCGCTAGCAATTCCTAGCGGTTCGGCGCAGAACCGCTAGAAATTCTGGCGGTTCGGCGCAGAACCGCTAGAAATTCTGGCGGTTCGGCGCAGAACCGCTAGAAATTCTGGCGGTTCGGCGCAGAACCGCTAGAAATTCTGGCGGTTCGGCGCAGAACCGCTAGAAATTTCTAGCGGTTCATGCATCAACCGCTAGAATTTTTCGGTGTCTAGCGGTTTATTGGCCTGAACCGCTAGAAAGTAAACGCTGCAAATTTGGCGCCAAGTTCCCGCCAAAGCCCGGGGAATTTTCTAGCTCTAATTTTCTAGCAGTTAGGTGGTAACCGCTAGAAATGTGCGGGCAATGGTCAAACCGTCTGAATTTTGCAGCGGTTTTTATAGAAACCGCTAGAAATATTTGGAATTTCTAGCGGTTTTGTTGAACCGCTAGAAATGTTCCGCTGCTACTTCAAGATTTTCTTGTAGTGTAAACGTGTTTAGGTATTCTTGTGGATGGCTATGAGTGGGGGCCTCCTTGCCTCTATTAAAAGAGAAACAATACTTGGTACTTCTCCAATGTGTAGGGTCTGCAATAGAGCTGAGGAAGATGTTTTGCATATCTTATGTGATTGTGATGTGGCCTCAAAGATTTGGAAGTAGTTAGTAGGGAGGAAAGCTTGGGTGAATTTTTTCTCTCTTCCTTTGCACAAGTGGTTTATACAGAATCTTCTAAGAAACGAGGGTGGTAGTGTGATTGGCACCTCAAGTTTGTTGTTTGCTATTGGTTTCTTTGGTGCTGGGGAATAATACTTTGTTTGGAGAAGAAAGATAGAGGACAGGGGATCTAAATATGGTTGTGAGAAATTACGAGAAGGAAAATGCAGAAGGCTTTAAAGTGGAGGACTCAGGTAGGATGGACATCATAATTAATACTAGGTGGGACATACCAGATGAAGGATGGATCAAATTAAACATTGATGTCGCTATAGAAAAGAGAACAATGGTCATAAGTAGAGCAGGAAAATGTGTTGAGCTTGTTTACGCTTGAAAATTGTGAGGACCGAGTTTGGAATTTTTCTCTATAAATGAAAAACAGACTTAAAAAGGCTAGCCTTATAAGGCCAAGGGTTTAAATTGGCCGGCCCGTTTAGGCTTTTTTATAATTTTTTTTCAAATTTTTTTTGTAATTCTAATATTATTAATTTTTTTTTACATTGCTAATGATATTTTGAATACTTAGTTATTATTATCATTTTGAAATTAAATTTCACAGAATGGCTTGATTTATTTGGTTTAAGACAATAGTTTTTCCAATTAAATTTTAAAACATGGGTTAATTTAGATATTAATAATGATTTGATTTATATGATATGTGTTGATATTTTTAAATTATATATATTTGATAAGAGAGTATTTTTATACTTATATAATTTGTAATCCTATAATTTGAATTAGAAATTTATGAATTTCAACAACAGTACTTCTCAAATTAAAGTAAAATAATAGTTAGACTATAAAATTTAAAAGTAAAATTTCTATAAAGAAGAAAAACTTGATTTTTTGCTACAAAATAAGAGCAATTGATTATAAGGATGATAATGTTTCAAAAAATTAATGATAGTATTTGTCTATTACACATTTGTACTATTGATGCATGGAACTTTTGAATATTGTTGTCTTATTGATGGATATTTTAGATATTTTTGGATGTTGATAGATATTTAGATATGATGATATTTTGTATTTGTGACTTTATTTTATTCATATTTATATCTTTTATTAATAATTTTATTGGTTTGTTTTTATTTTTTGATAAAAAAAAGTGAGAAATATGAGAAATATAAAAAATAATATTTTTTCTTAAACAGGCTAAAAACCCGAGGGTCGATCTGAATCCGTTAGTTTAAGGACCAGATCTAACAAATTGGAGTATTTTTTAAATTTTAGTCTTATAGGGTTAGCCTTTTTAAACAAGGCCAGACCTGCCGATATTCCCATCTCTAGTCACAGGTTGTGGAGCGGTTTTCTAGAATCATGGGGGTCGATGGTTGGGTGGTTTCTTAAGAAGAGTAGGACGAACTTGTGTATAGGAGGCTGAGGAATGGGGCTTGTTGAGTGGGCCATGCTTTTGCAAAATATCCAAGGGACACCTGTGGTTATTGAGTCTAACTCAAAGTCCGTGATTAATAAACTCGATGGTCTTCTGAAAGGGAGGGAGGGGAATAGCAGATTGTTGAACCAACCAAGACCTTGCTTTCTGGAAGATGGGAGGTTAAACTTCGACATGTTTTAGGAGAAAGCAATGAGGCAGCAGATTGGCCAGCAAAGTAGAGCTTCCTTCAAACAAATGTCATCCAAGTATTGTTTGAGCCACTGAGGGTTTAAGCAGTTTGTTGCATAAGGACAATTCAGGCATTGCCAAGCCTAGAAGCATTCTGTTTTAGTTAGTGTTCGAGCTTTTGCCCCATTTTGTAATATTACACATCACCTTCTTAAATATTATCTCTCCTCCTCCTCTCATTTAACTATTTTTTTTCAAATTAAATATCTAACTCTTATAATAAGAACTGAGGGTGGTATTATTTTTCAGTATTTAGGACGAGAGAGTATAAGAAAGAGAATGGGTAGGAAAAAGAAGTGAGAGAAAATTGCTTGATTAATACAATAATATAACATATAATGAATGGAAGTAAAAATTTAAAAAAAGTTTGTTAAAATTTCAAATATCCTTTAAAATTCATATAAGGCTAAAGTATACTTTAGATCCTTTAATTTTATATAACTTTACATAACGTTTTATTTTGGTTTTTAAATTTTAAAAAGTAAACTTTTAATCCTCTCACCCTAAAATCATTAACAGAAAAGATGATATTGAGCGCTTAAATATTAATAAAACATCACTAAATACTATAATATTAGGTTTAATTTTTAAAACAATCCTGATTGTTACAAAACAATTATCATTTAAGACTAATCATTTTAGGGTTTAAGCACTAAATATACTTTTTAAAGTTAAGGGACTAAAGTGAAACCTTACATAAAATTAAAGGATAAAAAAAATACTTTAGCCAAATTAAAGAGATTCCAACGCATCAAATCCATTACATGTTATTAAAAACTTAACAAAATCATTTCAAGCGCTCAATCGGACAACATGGCCTTAAAACAGTTTAGTCGGTACCGGTTCACCCAAAACTCGTTATTTACAAACATAGGAAAGGGTAAGGCTTCAATTGGGTAACAGTCTCAGGACATTTCCTGAAGTATTAACTCCTCCAAAGACAA